TTAGGTGGTGGATTCTATTAAGGCATTGCTGCTACTTTAAATCAGTGAAGCTTTGCATATTTCTGTTCTTACATTTTCTTTCTAATATTTGTAGAGGATAATACTGTTTATAGAACAAATGTATTTACATTCCATTTAAAAATGGCTTTAAGAATGCTTTTGTCTTTAAAATATTGCTTTTATATCTTATAGACCGGCTGGAAGGTGACAGGTCTGAAGGGTCTGGCCAAGAGAATGAAAATGAAGATGAAGAGTAATTGGCTATTTTCTGGAAACAACAAAACGTCATGAAATTTGTATAACTCGTGAATTATATTTTTCCTTACAAAGCTTTAGTGCAATTTTAAAGTTTTGCTTTGGGTAACCTAACATTCTGATTTTTGAATGAATGTGTGCATGACTTGTGAGAGTGTGCAAGTTAAAAAAAGCAAAATGTTTTTAAAATGTTTTGCCATGTATGAGGAGTGCTAGACAACGCAAAGTGCAATATTTTCCCTTAACTTGCAAATATGGGAGCTTGGATCAATGTTAAAATAACTTACTTAATAATAAAAACATTGGTTCAAATAAATTTCTATACCTGCTATTTGCATGTTTGTTGCTTTCTATTAAAAGATGTGGTTGTTTTACATTTGTGTTTGACTTTTCACTGTGACTGTACATAGCAAACCAACCAAGCAGTCTGTTGGAACACTTTACATTCTTGCTCATTATAGTGATTTCACTCTTCCTCCTTTTCCCAAGTAATCTTCTCTGGTTAATCTTTAAAAGATTAATCTTTTTAAAAGATAACATGAGAATTTCAATTTTTTTTGCTCACTTCAAGTGTTGGAGTGAAATACTTAATTTTATATTAAGGTATTTATGAAATCATGCTTGCTGTTCCTTCTAAAAGCAGCTTGTTATATATATGTGTGTGTGTGTGCATGTGCATTTGTGTACACACGCACACACACAGGAAGACATACATTGCCATATGACTCTTGTACTCTACAACAATTATAAAATGCAACAACAATACGTCCACAGTAAAAGTTACAATAAAGTTAACATTTAAAATAATATGGAACAATTCACAAATTTGCATGTCATCCATGTGCACTGCCGTGCTAATCTTCTCTCTATTACAATTTTAGTATATGTCCTGCCAAAGTATAGCATAGAGGACTGCTGGAGGAGTAATTACAAGGCCTTTCTTTGTGCAGGTACAATCATATAGTTTACAATCAAAGTCTGTATTAGGAAAGCTAAGCTCCAGTGATATTATTGTAAACAAAATAATAAAAAGTATGCCAGGTGGTCTTTAGATAGCGCTTCCTAACCTGTAGTGATCCACAATGTGTTGCAAGTAGTTTTTAAATTTAATTTTGTAGACTCCACAAACACCATCTTCAGGAGAAAAGGGGCTGTTATCACTTGTTCTGTGTTGTATTCATTAAAAGCCTTAGATGATGGTGCATGGGTCCACATAAAGGAAAAGGTTGGGAATTACTGCTTTAGTCTATTGTTTCCTCCTGCCAAGTCTTGTACTGAAATCATTCTGTACTCCTGCAGCATTTTATTTCGGAATACTGGACTTTTGAAATTTAACCTGCTAAAGTCATTGGAGTTATATTTCAAAATAATAGTTCGTTTCTACAGAATGTTTGTTTACTTATTTCAGTTTATATTTCAATTTATATAGCTGCTCATCTCAAATTAATGACCCTGGGCAGTTATCAACAGTTAAAGACATAAAACACATAACTATGAAAACAACACACACATAATCATAGCTGTGGCTAAAGAAACCACTATATAGGACCAACAACAAATCAAGCATTTCATGGGCTTTGTCATACATCTGGATCCCCAAGCCCATTGACAAAACCATGTTGTTATGCCCTCAGGTCAGACTCAGCTGCAAGTCAGGCTGATTCAGGTACTCACTTGAACCCAGAGGCAATTCCTTCAAGGATCTGTGCACCCCACCAAAGCGTGCGACTTGCGAGCAAGCAGCAAGATGCTGAACTGACCAGCAGAGATTAAGGAAAAATTGCCAACAGTTGGGCAAGCTTGTCAGGGAGGGGATTTAAGCCTCATAGAAACAACCTTTCATTTGCTAAAAGCAACTTTTGCAGCTGGCCTTGTGTACTATGACTCTTGCTTGGAATCCAGTTATTTGTGACCCCAGATGTTTATTGACTAAGACCTCATCTCTCCCACAGTTTGACATTGTAAATCTTTGACTTCAGACTGTTTCATGGAATTTGCCTTTGCCCAGTTAAGTGTTTATCTGTGACTAATTACTGTTTTCTTGCTTTTTGTCTTTTTACTCCACCAACTACTGCTACCTTGCTGTTGGAACTCACAGAAACAAGTCTTTCCCTTAACACTGTGTGTGCCTTCGACCTGTGTCTGGCTCCTGAAGGGGTGATTAGAAACCCAGGATGTGAAACATGTCTTCAAGGCCTTGCAAAAGGCCAGCAGGATCAGGGCTAATTTAATCTCTGAGGGATTGATGGTCTAAAGGGCTAGTGCTCAGCTAGATTTATCTCATAGTCAGTGAGAAAGAAGCCATATACTGTAGAGGGAAGAGGGAATGCCCTTGAAGGACAGGAGGAAGAGCCACTACCAAGGCAGTGGTCAGAGAAAAGGGGCCTGAGCCTGGGTGGAGAAAGTAGATGTCTCAGACAAGACCCTCCCTCGTTCACATGAAGATGGAGGGAAGAGGGAAGCGCACTCAGACATGCAAGTTCCTGTTACTATAGCTTTACAATAAAATTAGTATTGACCCATATGGCATTGGTTTCCTAGTCTGGTCTACCTTGAACAGTTGATGTATACCCAAAGAGGATTCTTCTATTGTAGTACATAGAAATTAAAGCCTACATGTAAGTCTGTGCTCCAGGGTTAAATTCTTAAGCTTTTTTCTGGGATTGATGTAAGAGAACTCAAACAGATATCATAGCCTATTACAGGATGTGCATGAATGCAATAAAGTCAGTTCCTTCATCTGACAAGTACTATGACCTGGGGGTGAGAAGGCTAGCTCTCAGACAAAAAAGGGGTGGTCTTTTCAAGGTAATCTCACTTTTATGCAATACATTAAAATATGTTTCAGTTAAATGTTTGGTTCTCTCCTTAAGGCAGAGACATAAGAGAATACATTTAATGGATGAAAAGACAAGATAAAGACATGCATTTTATGAAAAAAAAGGTTGCATGGACTACACCTTGACCTCTTTTAAGAGCTTTGCATTGGCCCCCTATTGATTACTTTTCTCATTTAAAAAAGGTATTTTATTTAAAAAACCTACAGCATGTGACAAATAGGTGAGAGAGATGGGAGTATGGATGAAGCAGGGGAGCTGGCACCCTTTGATAACTTTCTGTTCTTAGTGTTTTCCCACGATCTCCCACTGACTGGAGCACTGCTTGTCAACAAGAGTGAATGCTGTAATTAGAACTTTTATATTTATCATTAAATTTATATGCTGCCTATCTCCCCCAGAGAGTGACTCTGGGCGGCTTACAATTAAAATCCAAAACAATAAAAATATATCCACATTAAAATAACTAGTAACAATTCTATATAAAAAGCCAATATACAATTCAAAATGATGGGAGCAGTATCAATCATCCCACCAGCCATATACATTTTAAATGTAGCTTGATAGTAAAACATGTACAGGAATAACCTGTGTGACTGATACATATCTCAACTCCTATATGAAGGACTTTCTGTGCTAATAATATGATTGCCCTGAGCAGAAAATACAATGAAAAAAAGAGGCTGAATTTATTGGATGCTAGAGTTCTCAGACAATGTCATCATGGACCTCTAGAGTACTGCGCAGGATCTGTACTTGCTAGCTGGGCACAAATTGCTGAATTGTGAACCAATTTTGGAGAAACAATGCTTGACAATTATGAGGGCTAAAATCCAGAAAATCTGGAGGACATTTTATTTTAACACCAGTATAACTAAGGACAACTTAATCTTGTCTCCATCATGGGGGGAAAAAATGAAAACAACTTACTGGGATTAGAGCAGAAAAATATGTTCCTAGAGCCTGGTTGTGCCATAGTTACATACAAATGGAGAAAGGCCCAATCTCACAAATACAAATATTTTCACTGAAACTTGCTGCATTACCATTTCAAGTTCATTGTATTTTATATAAGAACCTAAGTCCCTTGATAATACCATGGGTATGTTATGTTTTAACTTGCTTCTTTTTTTCCAATAAACAAGCTACTCTGATAGTAGGTTTTCATTAAATATCCACAAAATTCTGTCTGTGTGTTTACTTTACATATACCTAATATGTATGCATAAATGTGAATAAGCATAATTTGTAACTATTTCCAAATTTCAGATGAAATGCATATATGATACACTGGATTCAATCATAACCATGTCAGGCGGTTGCAAATACATTTTATGCTTTGTGAAGCAATACTTGTTAACCAATATAAGTACTGCATTTTACTGTGCTCTGAATTATTTTCTGCATATGCAGTAAATAAGTTTGCCTGACCTTTGCTTATTAATCACTGATTTTCATAGGGTAATGAAAGTTTTTCTTATAAGAGACAGTAATGTGGAGGATTAAGGAGATTAAATTTGACATCACTCTTTTGTCTGTGTAGAAGCTCCATCAAAGAGTATACTGAGTGAGTATTAAAGCTTTGGGCTGGAAATGTTCCCATAGACTGAGAAGTAATGGATGAAAAAGGGAGTAAACAATATATACAACATTACCTAATATATTTTGAAAACTAAAACTGCAGCAGTGGGAGAACTAAACCAGAGGATGTGAATGCTGAGGATTTATAAAGCTGCGGGAGTAAGAAGAAACTACAGATAATGAAAAGTGGAATGCTTTTTCTTTGAATCTGTGGTGCCTCATATTATTTGCACGATCTTAATCGTATTAGAAGTTTATTTCTTAAGTGGACCACTGGAATGAAAGGTGATTGATACAAATTGATTCAATTTTTGTGGATTGGAAGACATGGTCCCTGCATTAAAACTGCTGCTCTTCACCTGTATTTGGCCTACTTCTGTTTTAGCCAATAACAGTGATCATCATAACTGCCATCACCACCATCATCCTCAAAGATCATTCATGAAAAGACATAACAGGTGAGCAAGATAGCCAGCAGGCATCAGAATTGATGTCTTTTAAAATCATGTAATTGAAGGTTTGTATTTGTTATACAGTTAAGTTGGCTTTAATATGGTGGAATGGTTTAATTAGCATATTTAAATAGATGTTTTTAGTTTGCTATTCAATTTCTATTTGAGTTCATGAATGTAATGGGGTTTAATGCTGCACTTTAAGACACAATCAATTGGAAATTTCACATTACCGGCCCTACCAAAATATGGAAGGGAGGGAGGGGATTCTCTAATATCAAAATCTGGAGTTTTGAAGGACATATTCTCAAGCATTGCTACTTTGAGTCATGATCCAGCAAACAGGATTAGCTTTCAGATTTAAGTATCTATATACAGCTAGTCCCTGTCTCTAATTCTCTAGATATCCATCAAAAAGTTGCATATGGAAGAACAAAAGAAATCAGGCAAATACCTGTGTGTAGAACACACGCTTTGCATTTTAAAAATCCTGTGTACAATTGGAAAGACTTTTGTCTGAATGCCGCAGCCAAACAGCAATTATGACTGGACGAACCTGTAGTTTAATGTTGTATAAGGATGCTTCCTGTATTGCTTCCGACATGCTCATCATGGGGGAGGGAGACTGGAGAATAGAGATGAGATGTCACCCATAGCTCTTTAGTAGGAGAGATAAAAGCACATGGCTTACATACTTTGGTATACTTGTAGTTATTTGGATCAATTAAAAGAAAGTAACTATTGTAACAGCTATGCTTATTATAATTGTCTGATTCAGAGATTTGTCAGAATCTCCTGAAATGAATGTTTTCAATTTTCCATTGCACTAAGTCAAGTTTTGTTTTTGTTTTAATGATAGCTTGCTCATTAAGTCATGTTCAGATTTCCATATAATGTTAAGTCATAAGTGATGGTTTAGAAACTACTACTGTAGGGTTTACATATCAAACTACATTATGGTTTAAGTGTGATCTCAGCCAATGTGAAGTTTAAAAGCAGTCCAAGTAGTAGTCTGTCTGAGACGCAAGTATGATTGCTTATTATCTTGTGTGGCAAATTTAGACTTGATTTTCTGAACTACTGTGCAAATATTATTTGAAAATGCAAACATTCACTTTCACTTTTACTTGAAACTAGATTAGGGCAGAGTAGTTGGAACGGACAAGCATATTGCTTTCTTGGCATTTCTTGGCATTAAAAAAAAGTGACCTGGCCACTGATTTGGGACTAGGCTTTATTTAACTTAGCAGAATTATTTTTCACCAAGCACTGGACCAAGACTTATTTATGTCTTTAAAATGAGACAAAGATGTAATTTTTCCAGCAGAAACATTCCAAAGCCTGGAGCAGGAGACCGTTTTCCAAATCTGATGCTCTGTGGATTTATCAGAATACAATTCTCAGCAAGGGTGTTTGCAGGGTGTGGGAAAAAAGGCAAGCTGCACATGTGTGACAGCCATTAAAAAATCAGGCAGAACTTCAATCACACCATAGTGACTGCCATCCTGATTTTGTTTACCACACACTGTGGATACCCTGATTCCCAGAATCCACTCAGGATTCCACCTTAGCTACGGATAATGGAAGTCTGACTGATGGGGTGGGGACTAGGTGGTACACGCCTGAAAAACCTTAGAGAAAAGAGAGAGAGGGCTAATGCTGCCATTGCTAATTTGATGTGGCAACTACTATTTATCCAGCTAGTCCATAGGTAGAGTTTCATCAAGGGGTGACAATTTGCCTGAGCTTATCTGGGCTTGTAAATGCAATGGGATTGGGCCTGGGAGTATTTGGATAGGAAATTGCTAGTGCTGTAGTCTTCCATAGGAAATATATATAAACGCACTAGAAGAGGGCAATAGGGAAGCCAAATATATATCTTTGCCATGAAAAATACATGGATAGTTCTATGAATTAACAAGGAGCCAAGTTTAACTCAGAGGTGATTTTATCTTTTCTGATGTGGGGGAAAAAAAGCCAACAATCTGCACAGCTGGTGGCTGTCATGAATTGATTCACTGCAACTGATATTTAGGGGAGTAATGTGATGGAATGTATCTACAAGGGGGAGGGTGATGTGAGAGATCAAGGCTATCAGGAAGGAGGGGGTGCATTCCAGGAGGAGAAAGGAGACAAAAGACAATACAGTCCTCAGTGGGAGTATGGGAAGCAAAAGAGGTTCAGGATAGCCACTCCTTAGAATATCCCAGGGAATATCCACAGTATATGTTGCAGTAGTATAGATTTAGTCTGGCAAGATTCTGTCTATAAGGTGTAAAGCATTTTACTCGACTGGACTGTTTCACTGTTCTTGGACTGGGCCTGACAAGTAACCATACCAGGTCTCTTGAATAAAATAAGCCAATTCTGGGTGCAGATAGTTACAGTTAAAGCAAATAAACATACATAAATGTAATATCATTTTATCTAATTACAATTAACTTGTTCCATGGATTTCAATGGATCTAGTCTAATAAGATTTTAGCCTCCATTAAAAAGAGCAGAAAAGCTTTGTTACAAATCCAGATCCTATGATATAACATAGTTTACAAACTATGTGATTTAACTACTTGTTTTAATTCTTGAATTGTTTGTGTATATTCTCCATTTCATAGGCTGATGACAGCCATACCAGTTTAGATGACCTGAATTTTCTTAAGTGGAATTTTTAAAAAGAGATTAGAGTAATTCTTAGAAAGACTTGACTTTCTTCAATCTTTTTAGATTTTAATGGAAGGTTATTGTACATTTTGTCTTGCCACAGTAAAAGTTTTCCCACCAAGTCCATATATGGGTATCTCTTTGATGGATAGCACCATAATTTGGAAACTTAATCTCCAAATATGGTATATTGCTTTAAATAACTGCAGTGATTCAAAGGGACAAGAAGAACATTAAAAAAAATACAATGACACTGGGAAAAAAAAGACAACTAGATCACCAAAGAGGAAGAAAAAGATTGGCATAAAATTTGTGTATGCACAAATGTAGAAACACTTACTCTATCTGTACCTGTTTATTCAGCTGTCCCAGTATTCGTTGTTGATGGCACCTGCTGTTCGTCCTTTTCTTTCTCTAAGGCAGTGTTTCTCAACCTTGACAGCTTTAAGATGTGTGGACTTCAACTCCCAGAATTCCCCAGCCAGCATGCTTGCTTAAGCTTGTGAGGATTGTCAGTGAGGATTGCTTGTGCTGTTCTGGCCACTCGCACACCCCTGTGCACCCTTCCCAAGCCTCCCCATGTCTTGCACCCTTGGACACCCCGCGCACCCTCCCCAACCCTCACCACGCCTCTCTTGCACCCTTGCGCACCCCCATGTACCCTCCCCCACCCAACAGCAGCCACCACTAACCTGCCTGCAAGCTGCCTGGGACTTGCAACTTCCTGCCAGTTTCCCCACTGACTTGGTTGTGGGAAGCTGGCAGAAAGCTGCCTTGCCTAGCGACCATGGGATTTGGGATTTGGTTAACAATGGCAACTGGGAATAATAGGAATTGCCATCACTAAGTGATGTGGTTGCACTTTACGACTGCATCATTTAGTGATGGAAATTCTGGTCCCAATTGCCATTGTAAGTCAAAGACAACCTGTAAATTTCTGGGGATGAGGATAGTTTATTGCTTTAACGGTGCTTCAGTGGATCAACTGCAAGATTATAACAAGTGTGAAGAGAATAGCCTAGCAGCCCAGGATGAAAAGGCTGCACAGGTCACAGTTGCTGAACAGGAGGAGGGCATGCCTGGCACTATCAGGCATCAGCCAATCAGAGTTGGGGTTTCTATTACATTGGAATGAGGTGCTGGAGACCATCCGTTCAGAAAAGCTTAAGATGGCTCAGGTTGAAAAACAGTTTCAGACTGAAACTGGAAAGCACAGGCACAGAGTGCATTTGCAGTGGGCTGGGAGTGGGAGAAGGATGATGTCATTTGTTCCTGCATTCAGGAGGCAATGGGTAGTGACAGTGGGCCAAGCAGAAAGTTGGTCTCCCCTAAGAAGTTTTGGATATTTGCTCCTGATCTACAGCACACAAAAGGGGTTATGTTTCAGAATGAATATTGAAATAGAATTACCTGGTTAATTCTTCATCCTTTTAAATTTGCTATTCTGATGTTGCTTGTAGAAGAGAATAGAACAGATTTAGATATTATTGCATAGATTTTATATATTTCTGCTAAGAGCAGCAAAGAAGCATTTAGCAAGCACTGGTTTTCCTTAAAAGAAGCATAGAATCATAGGACTGGAAGGGATTCTGGAGATTTTCTATCCAATCCCTTATCCAGGGCAGGAATCTTCAGGCCATCCCAGGCAAAGAGCTGTCCAACCTTTGCTTGAAAACCTCCAGTGATGGAGCGCCAATGACTCTAGGAGGCAGGTGGTTTCTCTCCTTAATAGCTCTCAGACTCAGGAAACTTCTCTATTTTGAGTTTGGCGCTCACGCTCTCTCTCTCTCTCTCTCTCTCTCTCTCTCAAGTCCCATCTATTGTTTTCTGTGGGGCAAGGGTATCATTATTATTATTCTAGAGAGAGGAATCTTTTTTGAGCGGCGGAAATAGTTCCTCAGAAAGCTGATGGTAAAATCCTTTCCTGAGGCATCTGAGATCCATTTCCTGTAAGAATAAATAGGACCAGCTTAGGGACCAATGGATATGATAATTTTATTCCTATCCATCATTCAGGTATACTTTGGGTTTTGCCATTCATTTTGTAATGGGAGGATAATCCATACTGCACCTACTACAGAGGCAAAAGAGTAAAAACAATTCCATCATGCATACTAGGAAAATGTGTTTCATATTGATATAGATAAGGGCTCTCTATTCTAACTATATTTACTGCTACTGTTTAAAACAACTGCATTTCTGCCAAGTATTGGCAAAGCTATCAAGAACGTAGTCATGAAACCTTGAACTTCTGAACTCCTATATTTACATACAGTATTTAATTGTATCTGTACATATAGTCAAGATACAATTAAATACTGTATGTAAATATAGAAGTTCAGAAGTTCAAGGCTTCATGACAACTACAGTCTTGATGCGGCTTGATGTGGTTTGGGCTGAAACCAATGTTGGATTATCTCTCCATATTTTGCATGAATAGTTAGAATCTTCAGACCAACTGACAGTAGATGTTGACTTATTTACTTTATATAAGAAACTAGAGTGATTTAATAATTTCTGATGTGTGTGTGTGTGTGTGTGTGTGTGTTTATTTAATGCAGCAAACAAGAAATTAAGATGAAGAAACTAGACAGCACTAAAATATGGCCCATGAAATCGGAACAACTTCTCCGCATAGAGAACCATGATTTTGCCATGAGACCTGGCTTTGGAGGTAAAAATAGCTATGCCATGCCATGCCATGCCATG